CACTTCGCAGACAACTAATCCGTCCTTCCGTCGACAGGGTCAATCAACGATCAAAAATGGCTTCGAGACCTACCGTCACCATCATCGGCAAGGATGGCAAGTCCTCCGGCAACACCCACACTCTGCCGGCCGTCTTCCTGAGCCCTATCCGTCCCGATATCGTCCAGGAGGTTCACAAGGGCATGGCCAAGAACAAGCGCCAGCCCTACTCCGTCTCCGAGAAGGCCGGTCACCAGACCTCTGCTGAGTCTTGGGGAACTGGTTAGTGCTTCCCGACAATCCGAACGCGCGCGAGAAGAATCTGCTTGGAAGGGAGGGCGAGAGGGTCGCATTGGTGAACGACGGCGAGGGACCTCGGGCAGGAAAGATCGTGAAGGAGCTGGAACTGCTGCTGCTGGATCAACCACCCGAGGGCTCCAGCCGAAGTTTTTTCCTTCCACACCCGAGTCCCGCGACAAGAGATTGAGAGGCGCTGCTGAGATGATGGGAGAGGAACACCCAAGCTGACGGAAACATCAAACAGGTCGTGCTGTTGCCCGTATCCCCCGTGTCTCCGGTGGTGGTACTCACCGTGCCGGTCAGGCCGCCTTCGGTAACATGTGCCGTTCCGGTCGCATGTTCGCCCCTACCAAGACCTGGCGCAAGTGGCACGTCAAGGTCAACCAGGGCCAGAGGTAAGATTTTCTTCAGGCCCCACCGCGGGGAAAGACCTGGAAATATACGAGAACGACGATTCTAACAAGTCTCCCAGACGCTACGCTACCGTCTCCGCCATCGCCGCCTCCGGCGTTGCCCCTCTCCTCCAGGCCCGCGGTCACCAGATCTCCTCCGTCCCCGAGGTTCCCCTGGTCGTCGACTCCGCTCTCTTCGAGAACGCCGCTGTCGCCCGCACCTCCGCTGCCGTCGCTCTCCTGAAGACCGTCGGTGCCGGCGAGGACGTCGAGAAGGTCAAGGGCTCCAAGAAGCTCCGCGCCGGTAAGGGCAAGCTCCGTGGCCGCCGCTTCCGCCAGCGCCGCGGTCCCCTTGTCATCTACGACCCCGAGGTCGACGGCAAGGAGCTCGTCACCGCTTTCCGCAACATCCCCGGTGTCGAGTCCTCCCCCGTCACCGCCCTCAACCTCCTCCAGCTCGCCCCCGGTGGTCACCTCGGTCGCTTCGTCGTCTGGACCTCCGCCGCCTTCAAGGCCCTGGACACCATCTACGGCTCCACCACCACCCCCAGCGCCCTCAAGAAGGACTTCCTGCTGCCGTCCAACATCGTCAGCCAGGCCGACCTTGCCCGTATCATCAACAGCTCCGAGACCCAGTCTGCGCTCAACGAGCCCAAGGGCTACGCTCTGACCCGCCGCTCCGCGGTCCAGAAGAAGAACCCCCTGAAGAACAAGCAGGTCATGCTCCGCCTGAACCCCTACGCCTCGGTATTCGCCAAGAAGGCTGCCGAGAAGAAGTAAATTACTTCCTCGGTAGGGTGTTTTTGACAACGGTGGTGGAACGGAGGTTTCTGAAACGGACGGGGCTACATTTTAGCATGGTTTGTGCTTGAGGCGTAATGGCAACTAGGAAATGTTGACCTCAATTCATCAATGGACAAATGATTCCCTTGAAAGCAACAAAAGTTTGGTCTGGCCCTGGACCGTGACGACTCAATTCCAACACGTGATTATGACTTTTTCTTGCTTTTGTACATCTCAGGGTTTTGGGAAAACGTAGTTACTGTCAGGTAGCTACAAAAAAGTTCTCTATACATTCTACCCTGTCTTTCAAGTGTGTGACATGCCTGCCATCTAGCTATGTGTTTCGGAAGCATCAATAATGAGATCATCACGTTCGTTATCGCTTCAACATCCACTTAACATCCCATCCAAGTGCCCAAATTGCCCAGCCCCTCCTCCATCGCGTCCTCGTGGGCCGTCACCAGGTCCCCAATTAACTCCTCAATATCCTCCACCTTCTTAAGCCTCCAGAACCTCTGAATGGCCTCGGCAAGCCTCTCCGAGCAGCGGTCCACATTCTCCTCCGTCTCCGCCGCAAAGCACAGCCGGAAGTACGCCCATCCCCTCTCCGCGCGGATCGCAGGTGTAGCACTGAACATCATGCCAGGGCTCACCAGCACGCGGAACGGCTTCTGCGTCGCGTAGATCATGAGCGCGGTCGACAGCTTCTCGCCGTCGATCAGCGGCAGGATCTTGCCGCCCGTGGCCATCCACAGCGGGTGCGTCTCGAAGCGCATGCGCAGCCAGATGAACATGCCGCCGCGCGGCCAGTCGAAGTCGTACAGCCGCGTCTTGCTGACGACGCCCCAGTCCGCGTCCTCGACGCTGCGCGGCGTCGACTGCTTAAGCTGGACGGCGCCGTCGTCGAGGATGGAGGACATGCGGTTCATGCGGCGCTCGTAGACGCCGCGGAGGCCCTCGAGCCAGCGGACCCAGCCGTCCATCTTCCAGCCCTCGAACGTCTGCTTCTGGCGCGACGTCAGGGCTGCGAAGGCAGATCGCACGGCCGGGGGTTGCTCGCCCATGACCAGCTCTGCGACGGTGGACTGCACGAAACCGGAGGGCTGTTGCGTCGTGACCTCGGTAATCCTATGACTTGGTTAGCGTTTTGGGTCGTGTGTATGTGAGACAGCGGACCGGCTTACCTCAGAAGACGTTCGATGATGGCCGGCTGGGCCGTGATCCAGCCCAACCGGCATCCGGGAGCAATGGTCTTGGAGAAGGTATCAAGACGAATGACTCTGCCGTCAACGTCGATGCTCAAGAACGATGGTGTTAACGAGTCCAGGAACCGGTATCCCGACGATTTGACGGGCTTGTAAGTCGACGATGCAGTGGCGGGGACGGGTAGGCCTCTGTGCCTAGCCTCATCCTCAGCAGCGGATGGGTACTGCAGGTACCAGTACGGGTCATCTTCGACGATGATCACATCGTACTTGCTGGCAATGTCGTAAATCTCCTTGCGACGCTCAACAGGGAGCACGCCGCTAGTTGGGTTGTGGCCCATGCTGAGATCGAATGTTAGCAAACACTGATCCGCAATGTCGCATGCAAGGGAGAACTCACGTCACAGTGTACATGAAATGCGGCCTCCGGCCATTGGCCTCATCCCAGCCAGACAACAACTCATCCAAACCGCCAGGACCATAGGCGATCATGCCCACATTGTCCATCTCGACAGGCGCAACCTGCACGCCGCGAGGGAGCGCCTGCGTCAGAACCTGACTGTACACAAAGACTTCGCACAGCATGCCCTGTCTATCCCTAATGTCATTCTTCGCAGGGTTCCAGGGGTTCGTCAGAAGCTCCAAGGTCTTGGAAAAGCCATCCGTGGAACCGCAGCTGAGAATGACCTCGGGACCGCCGAGGTAAGGCACATTGGGATGCAGGTGCTCCCGGGTGAACTGCCTCACGAAAGACCGCAGGGGAGGATAGCCCTCGGCGGTGCCGTACTGCAGCGCTGTGGCGACGTCAATGCGCCGGAGCGGATCGAGCTCGGCATCGCTACCGGGGACGGTGACGTGCCGCGCCGCCTTGACGTCCTCTTTCGTATCCCGGCCGGATGTCTTGCCCCGGATCGGCAGTGTTGCTGCTGCGGCGCCGTTGGGTGCGCTATAAGTGGCGTCGGGGATCGGGGATGGCTCCCATCTTTCGGGCTTCGCGGCCTGCGCCTCGAGGGTGTCGAACGGGAACAAGCTCGAATGAGGTAGACCTGGGGCGCCCGATTGGTTAGTGACTCAGGTGCCTGGGGCGTTGTGCCGGGATCGGTTGGTGAATGGGGGTTGGGAATTGGTGTTGCGCAACATGGTGGTGGAAGCACGCCACGGAAGGTGTATATTGCGGCATGTATTGCGGCATCCTTCCCGCACGACGCGCACGCGACATAGCTCTGATTGACGCCATGCAACCACCAGCAGTGCCGTATCAAGATCCGACATGTGCCTTGCAATGAAAAAAAGTGAAGGCATGTAGACTCAGAAACTCACCTCCAGCTAGTTGACCAATGCCCGGAATCTGAAAGTACTTGTAGTACTCCTTCATCTTGCTCGGCTCTCTCGCCTTGGTCACATCGGAGAAATGGTGCTCCAGGTTCAGAGGCGGCCTCTTGTCCATTGCGGCGGCAGACATCTTTGACGACGGTGGGCGATAAGGCTTGAACGGCAGATCTGTCGTCGGTTGCATCGGCGGCATGGGAACGAAAGTGACCGTGTGTGCCGTCGTAGTGGTTGGGCGTTTGTCGTGTAACGGGTTGGCCAAGAGTCTTTAGACCAAAACGACGTCCGACTCGAGATCCCAACGATATGAGAGAAGGGATCGATCTGAAGATAAGAGTGAGAGTAGGGAAAGAGGAAAAGATACCAAGTACGAAAGAATCGAGGGGCCCCAGTTGAACCCCGGGATTACAAATCGTCATCCATCTCGAGGAAGGGTGCCCCGATAAGGAAGCTCAAGCTTGGCTCCGCCGGTGGCCGTTGATAAGGGCGTTCAAAGGCGTTTGACCGGGGTGTTTTCGAGGTGACAGGGATATCGGCTGTGGTTGACCGACCTCTGACTAGCGAGTTCGGACTGTCACCGACTTCCCGGCGTGTTGGACCTGCAATCGGACCCCAGGTCGACCCCAGTTCCCCGGTTTCCGCCTCCCTAAGGCTGCGCGTGAAGGTTCAGTTCGTCCAAAACTCAAAGCACATCAACTCATCAATTCAAAGGCAAATTCAACTTCAGTTCTTCTTGAACAAATAAACAGTCTGATTAGCGGAGCAAACTTGCTCCAGTAGAGGTCTGATGATGGGCCTAACTTTTAGGCCGTACAAGTACAACAGGGAATCGTCATCTAAGCTTCATTTTCCCGAGTCCTCCCAACGCAGAATCGGATGCCTTTTCCTCCGTCCCCATCGCATCCCAGAACGCCTTGCTCAAATAATACAGAAAACAAGATCAATCAACAGTATAATCATCTTCTCCTCTCCTCTCTATTCCTCCCCGCCAGCTTTTCCACAAGCTGGTCTCTTATAAGTACGGCATCCAGAGCGCATCGCACTGGGCCAAGTTCATGGGATTGACGGCCTTAGCTACTAGATCAATCACCGTTTGGTTGGCTGGTAGGTTGCCAACCGGGCTCTGCGCCAGGCTAACGGCACGCTTCACCACTGAGTCGCTGTTGACCTGAACAGACTCGCGGAGCTGGTTCTCCGTCATCTGGACAGTTCGGTGGGAGCTCGTGAACCAGAAAATCATCTCATCGCGCACAAACAACGTGAGGGCGTGCTCCAACTCGTACTCGGGCTCCGTGAGGCAGCGCGCGATAGCCATCAGAGCGCAGCTGAAGATGCCCTCTGTCGCCAAAGGTCCCATGAGCGTCTGGAGGTTGGGCGTCAGACGGAATGGCACTGGCTCCGGGTTGTGGAAGAAAGGCTTGGCGGCGCTCATGTAGGCCATCAGCTCTGAGCCCCAGATATTACCGGATCCACGGGCGATGTTGATCTTTTGCGGGTATCGGTTATGCATGTAGAGGATGTATGTCATAAAGGTGAGGGCGGCAAGCTGGTATGAGAATTGTCTCCTGAACAGCCAGAATTCGGTGAAATCGGGGAAGGCTCTCTGGAAGTATTCCAGGGCTAGGTTGTGAGGAACCCACTTCTCCTGGATGGCGTGGAACACTTCAAGACGTGCAGTCGCGCTTTGCTCAGCATGCTTCGAGTTCTTCGTGTCAAGAACGCCGCGAAGCTTCTCCATGGTGAAGAGCACGGGGTCGTCCTTGGACATGCCGTGACGCCGGCAGTGATCTTCGTAGACGCTCTGAAGAGTGATGTATGAAGTGTCCTCCTGGACGATGCGGATATGAGGCGCCAGAGGCACCATCAAGGGAAGAGTGAACTGGAGATCGCGGCGACGGGACTCCTTTCTCCTGCCTAGGGTCTGGTTCAATTGTCGGAACAGCTGCAAGATGCGCTCCTCGCGGCGGCAATGCCTTGCGGCGGGATGCTGGACAGCCCAAGAGTGGACACTTCCATCGTGTCCGCGCATCTGGATGCGGCGGTACGATGCGCTGATTGATCTCACCAATTCAACATTGGGCAAGAAGCGCTCGATGCGAATGAAGTCCTGGTTCTTGTCCTTGTGTTGCAAGTACTGTCCAGGTATCTCAACATCGTCAAACCTCTGGTAACGGAACTCTGACAGATGTGGCGAAAATTGCTCCAAGGAGACGCGGGTAGTTCTGCGGTCGAGCTTCTCTTCAAACTTGTTACGCCACCGGCGAAGTTTGTGAATATACTCGTACATTGTCGGCTTGAAATCCACAAAATCTGCTTCAAATGATTTCTTGATGTGAGCAGGCAGAATCGTTTCAGCGAAGCGGGTGATGTTGGTCTCGGTCGCGGAAGGAAGCTTGACGTCCTTGGCAAAGGAAGAAGGCATGCGACTGACGTATGCCAGAGCATCGTTGAGAAGGGCGACGATGAGTCGGTAGGCGTCTTCGTCGGGAGGGCACTTGAAGTGCTTCTGAATCTGATCGACCATCGTCTCCATTGACAGTGCAAGGAGGGGGAAGGCTGTCTTCAAAGCACTCATGATCTCCTCCGTAAGTTCCCAAGGTGGCTTCTTCTGACCAGCCGCCGATGCCTGGTCGCCTGTGGCCGCAGTGCCGTTGGCGTCATTGCCCTCAGTCTTGACGGCGGCATTCGCATCACCACCGCTGGCAGTGCCAGGTCTTGAGCCGGAGGCGTCAGGCTTGGCAACACCGTCTTGTTTGAGTTGTTGTGGTGATGCGCTGGGTTTGCCGTTGGTTTGTGCTGACTGAGCGCGCTGGCGGGCCTTCTCCTTAGCCTCTTGGTTCTTCTTGATAACCAGCATGTCTTCCCTGTTGGTGCGAAGCTGGAAGTAAAGCGCCTGGGGATAGGACCTGGCAATCTTGACGAGGATCTGGTGCACCCTTGGAGCTTCCTTGTGGCCGAGACCGGTAAGGAGCTGAGGAATGAAGGTGATCCAATACCAGACAGGGGTTTCGCCCTTGAAGTCGTCAAAGCCGGCGGCGATCGATCCATTGGCGTCGTCAAGACTGAGAAGCCACAGGATGCGGGCAATGAGCTTCCGCGACTTTGCGTTCTTGTAGCTTCCGGCAGCTTGCAGGTACGACGTGAGAGCTTGTCGTGCAGAATTGATGTCTGATGGATCCTCCTTGTACTTGCGTTCGTTGAAGTAACCCCATTCGGCCCAAGCCTTGGCAGCGGTAATGTCGAAGTACAACGCCGTCCCATAGGCGGAATCAGCTTCCTCCTTTTGCTTGAGCTTCTCCAGGAACATGCCCTTCAGCGTATAAAACTCGGCCTTTTGCGGCGGGTTGAAGTAGTTGAGGTTTGTGTTGTTGATCACATCCAACCCGCTCGTGAGTTCTTCAGGGTTCTCGTAGTGACACTTGGCTTGCTCTCTCAGCTTTAGGAAAGCTTCCTGGATCTCGATGTTAGGCAGAGTGTAGATCCTGCTCAACTGCGTGATGCAAACTTCAGGCAGACTATGCTTGCGAGCAACATGCGCGAACCGATTGATGATCCAAGCCGTCTCATGGTAACCACGGTACGCGAAAGACGCACCACTAGCATTCTGACCACCCCCTTGAGGCAGCAACTGCAGATAGGTCTGGTTGATGAGGCCAAATATGTGTTGACGCCAGGTGACGAGATCTTGCCAAGCAGTAATGTCGTCCCAAACGTTAGGCAAACGATCACGCCAAGCACCGAGCAGGAGCTTGAGTTCTCCTGATTTGACGTCGAGATTGGACTGGTTGGTGCTAGCAAGGCTGTTACAGATAACGCTGGCATCGTGCAACTCGACCAGCTGCTGGAAGTTCTGGAGAAGCGGGATGTGAGCCTTCGTGAGTTGCTTCGGAAGCTGGTGCCACTTCCGAATAGAGAGCTGAATGGCCTCATCGCAAGACTTGGCAAATTCCTGGGGTGTCTCCTGCTTGTTGTAGTACTTCAAAAGCGACATGAAGGCCTGGAAGAAAGCCCGACGAGGAGTAGGTGCGTCCATGACACCCTTGATCAGGTTGTCCAAGGCCTCTCTATGTTCTTGGGTCTGCCACATCTCCGTGTTGTTCCTCCAGGCGCATTCCAAAAGCAAGTCCTGGAAGTTTTCGTGCTTGGCAAAGTCCTGGAGGATCTCCCATTGTTGCAGCTTCTGAGCACACAGCACCCAGTGGTCTTCCCAGAGAACGTACTCTCCCTGGGAAAATGGGATAACACCGGTGCGCGCCTTGATTTGAGCGGCTTCATACATCTTCTGAGCCTTATCCCACATTCCATTTTGTTCATAAGACAAGGCCGCATTTGTCTCGACGAACTGGCAACGTCTGCGCCACGTGCCATAGAACAGATCGTCTTCCTGCAATGAAGCATACAACTCCACGAGGGCATCCAGGTTACTTTCTCTGACAACCGCCGACTCAACTTCTGGCTTGATCGCAGCGTTCTCGAGTTGAACAAGGGCAGTGTACCAGGCATCATACGTCTTCGCCTCATACTTCAGAACGTGCGGTGGGATCTTGCAGTCGGGCCATGCCTTCGCAGCACCTTCAAGGAGAGACTGAACGACATTGGGTCGCTTGTCGATCTGGCGGCTGTGGTAGTCTTTGGTGAGGAGGGCAACCATGCCACGCTCGAGATCTGTGCGCTCTTCCTTCATCGTCGCAGACCAGTAGATAGGGAACAGAGAAATCCACAGCTGATGGGCCAGCGTGTTGTCGACGTGTTGGAGCTGGGTCAAGGGCTCAATGAGATCGCGAACCTTGACATCCCCAAGCTCGATCATAAAGCGTCGGTGGGAGGCCATCAGTGCGTCAAACTTGTCATCCGACATATTGGCAGGCTCTCTAGTGTCCTTGGCATGAATCGAGAAGAGCTGGGTGATGGAAAGCGTCTTGAAGTCTTCGTGATGAAGCTGGATGCTGTTGTTCAATTCCACTGCACCGAGGAGAAGATGCGATGCTTGAGCCAACCAGTAGCTTTCGCCCAAAGTGTCCCAATTTTGAGATGTGAGCACATAGGCGAGTCGGGCACTGGCCGTTTTGGAGAGACTCTTGTCGAAGATCGTCATGAACCGGTTCCGCATCTCAACGTCTTGAGCACGGGTGCCGATAAGGAAGGCATGTTCCATGCGCACCGTCAACTCTGTCCTCGTAATCTTCGGGTCCTCGTAAATGCGAATGACCAGCTCTAAGAATTTCGTGAGCATTGTAGGGTCTTGTCGATGTTCGAAAGAGAGCATTTTATGCAGCACCGCAGTCTTTTCCTTGAGAGTAGGCCAAGTGCCTTCAGAGCGGAAAACCCAGCCTTCTACCATGTTAAGAATTTCTTCGCAAAGGGGAATGTGCATAGACTTCTCGACAAGTGTGGCCAAAACACTTAGGAAGGGGCGTCTGTTGTCACCCAGGACTTCCATCCGCAGAGCAACGACTTGAATAGCCTTGAGCATGAGGCTTGTGGAAACTTCAAGGTCGTAGCTTGACATCTCTCCAGTGGGCGCGTTGGGATCTTGCGCTCGAGGGGGCTGGCCAGGCTGGTGATTGGCAACGGCAGTGTAGTGCTGAACATGCTCACGCGCAAGCTTGCTCTGCAGAGCCTTCATTAGAACAGGGATGTGTTGGTCGATGACTGTAGGCTTTCGGTTGCCCAGAGACCACAGAATATTGACTCCGGATCCATAGTGGCCAGCAGCCATTGCCTCGCCGGCGATGGTCGAAAGAGACTGTATAATCTCAGAATTCTGAGATTCGGATTCGCCCTCGGCATCAGCGTCTTCCATTGGAACATCCTCTGGTACCGCATCGAGGACTCGCTTGATCGTCGACTTGATATCGCGGTCGTCGTCGTATTTCTTGTCTGCGAGATGCAAGCAATCCTGAAGCTCAGGATTTTCGCTCTTGAGAGCCTTGTCCAAAACCTTCTGAACGTGGGTCATGTTTCGCGCGATCCAGTCGTCCGACTTGAAGTTGAGAATGATGCGAACAACTTGGAGAGTGTTAATGATATTCGTGATAAACTTCTCGTCAAACTTCTCCTTGTCGGCAGGGTCTGCTGAAAGAATGTTCTGCGTCTTCTCGCTGGCCAAAACGACATCGGTGACATTAGGGAAGAGATCAACATCCAAATCTCCCCAGTACTGAGGTTGAAGGAGGTTGTAGAATAGAGACATGGCCTTCTTGCACAGTTCGGTGGAAGCAGGCGGCATAGCCGGGCCGTTCGTGGCAACGGAGTCTCGCGTCCGCGTGGAGGGAAGCTGGTAACGCTCATTGAGTTGGGCGATGAACTCAACGAGGTACTTGACCATTCTCTGCCGACCAATCACTGGAATGACGTATTCCGCCCTCTCAGGAGCCTGCCTAGCGGCTGGAGGCGAGGACATGGGCTGGTCGCTGTCCAGCTTCCGCTTCTTGGACTGTGGTGATTCGGAAATTGAGCGTGTCACGGCGTCGCCTTTGCCCTCAACGCGTCTTTGTTCCCAGAGCCAGATCAACCACATCATGTTGAGAGCGAGCTTCTTCGACTCGTTGGATGGGTTGGGAGGGGCAGCAACCTTTCTCAGAGACTGGATGATGAGCATAGCGTACTTATCCCTAGACTCGTAAAAAAGGTCGGGGTGCTTGACAAGGAAGTGGAAGATGCTCGTCATTTGCTGTACGTTCTGGCCTTCGTCCGCGAGAATCTTTCGTGGCGCCAACGCCCAGCCGGCGTTGCGGTCATTGGGCTGAGTTCCAAGGCGTTTCGGTAAGACCGGTGCAATCAACTCGAGAGCTTGCGTGACAAGGGCTCTACCCTCGTTTTGGTTGGTTCGCAACAGGGATAGGTACACCTGAGTGACGATCTTGACTGGTGTCTCATACAAGGCAATGAAGTACCCTATGACGACATAAGCAGCATGTTTGTTGATAACATCGTCAAGGCGGATGAAAGTCCAGCAACTCTTAATAATATCCTTTCTCGCCTCCTGGAAGATGTGGGAGTGGTACTTCACCAGCATAGCCGACAGCTGGAGAACCTCAAACTTGGTGTGGTCGATGCCAGGCTGTGCGACATCGTCGTAGTCATGCTGGCTTGTGTCCTGATGCGTTTTCCAGATCTTAGCGGTGATCGCATCGATGATGGCCTTGTCCATGAACCGGCCCTTGGTTTGGGGAGGTTGATTCCAGTGTCGCTGGACATCCATGGCAACGATTGGATTCACAATGTTGTGCAGGAGGAAGCATTTCATCTTCTGGGAAACATTCTTGGCGGGATAGGATTCCAGACACTTGAGCACCGTGGCCTTCCAGAACTCCACCGAGTCGCTGCTGATGATGTTTTTGTAAATGTAGGTTATCAGAGGCTGCGAGGTGCGGAAGTCGTCTGTGGTCACAGAGTCCACCAGGCTGAAGAGAGGCTCGAGATCTCGCGGGTTGCGCTCCAGCGACTTGATGAAGATGGACATCAATTGCTCTGATGCTTGGCATGCAGGAAGTCTGAGGTTGGGCGACAGAGTGTGTGCTCGCATTTGCTTCTCTAGTTCCTTGCCAACACCCTTCAGCCAGTTGAGGTGCTCCTTCTTCTCCAACCAAGCGTCTGACCCAGTTGACAGAGTCAATGAGTAGAGGACTTGGATGGCGTTTACAACGGCAACAAACTTTGTGTCCTTGTTCTGTTGGATGGTGCTGTTGCAGAAGTCGATCAGGGCCTGTACGTTGCCAGCCACTGTCTCTCGCAGAGGAGCACTCTCTGGATGTCGGATGACCTGAGAGAGGAATCGTCCATACTTAAGATCCTCAAGTTTGGGTAGAAGATAAGTCCAGACCTCATTAGGATAGCGGTTGATGAACTTGTAAAGAGGCGCGCGGAATGGGCTCTCGTGGGTGCGACGAAGCTTCTCCTCAAGCTCTAGAGACAGATCGATCAGTCTCTGCTTGAACCCTTCTGCTTGTGGGGGCAGGAGGTGGAAGATATTGAAGACTGCTGCGACGATCTTCATCTGCTGGTTCTGCTCAAAGAACGTGAAAGCGAGTGGTTGAAGCACCTCTGGGGCGGCGAGGACCTTAACGTGGTCGAGTAGACGGGCGCCAATCTCCACCTTGAAGTACGTAGTAAGGAGCTTCAAGAGACGACCGAGGTTGTCGAGCCCGTGTGTAGTCAGCTTCTTGGCATCTTGCAGACTGGCCAGCACCGGTCGAAGACCTCCCTGAAGCAGGTCCTTGGGCAACTTTTGATGCGCTTCCAGTGTGTTCTTGAGGGCGCTGTTTGCTGCATCGATCGTAGCCTTGGAGTCCGAATAGAGACACTTGAAAAAGACCGACACAACCTTTGAACGAGTCGGGTGGCTGCCTTGTTTAAGCGGAGCAAATTCCTCGAAACTGGTCGCCGTGCTGAGAATATTGATGCAAGCGACCCGAAGGTTCACAATGTACTCATGTGTTCTGAACTCCCCAGGCTTGTTGGCCAAAGACTCGTCGCTGGCGTCAGCCAGAGCCAGTGACTCCATGAGTAGTCTGTTCAAGTTGTCGTCAAACGTTACCCATTCCTTTCTCAAGGTCATGTGGTATGTCATGGCGTCGATGTAGCCGATCTGGATGGGGAACGGCAAGGCGCGGAGAGGCTTGGAGTAGATGGGTTGGAGGAAACGCTCCTTGTAAGGCTCAATCACCTCCCATACGGCACAGCCGGCTGCCTTGGCGATCAGCTCCAGGGATCGCTTGGCGGTCTCACGAACGTGGCGATTCATGTGCGACAACTCGGTATTGAATTGCATGCAGATCTGGGCGAGACGAGATCTTTGGGGCGCTTGACCTTGAGCCGAGGGTTGCGGGGGCAGGGCATCTTCCTTCTTGATGTTCTTCGTGATCCTGTGAAGCAGCGTCTCCAATGTGGCTTGCGCAGATCTCCTCGTCTTCTCCGGAAGATCCTGGGGCATATCCTTGATGACGTACATGAGCGCTCTGATGAACTCAGTTTGTTTGCTCAAGATCCATTGGTCGCCAAGGTCCAGCTCAGTCAAAAGGAAGTTGATGCCGAGAGAACCGCCCGTCTTGGTGAACCACTCCTCTTCGTAGCAGCCATGGCAGAAGGTAGAACTCAGGTGGCTGAAGAATGCTAGCCGTGCCACGTTTTGATCGGATCCGAAGATTGTGGCGGCGGAGTCGTAAACCTCACGAATCGCGCGCTGCGCAGCCTCCCGCACATCGGGATGGTCTGAAGCCAAAGATTCCACAATGGCGTCAGAGAACACCCGAGTGTCAATGAAGAGCGGGCCCTCTCCGGCCTTCGGATTGAATGGACTCAGGATTCGCTTCATCTCAATAAGAGTGCGTCCAACCTCAATGATGGTGAAGTGTCTGCAGATGTTCATGAGGAAAGCGTTGGCCTCTTCCTTGAACTCTGGCAAGGACTCGGCAAACATGATGGCCTTGAGCAAACGCCGGAGCAAATCATCCTGCTCGTCCTTCTTGGGGATCGATCTGTCCCGGTCAGATGTCTCGAAGGCGGCGAAGTCGAAGTCAATCTTCTTGTGAAGCAAGTCCTGTGCCTGGAGACGCACCAGTCTTGGCAGATCGTCGGGCAGATTCTCGAAGCCGATTCGCATCTTGAGCTGGGACTTGATGAAATGAAATGACTGCTTCTTGTAGTAGGCGTCATATTGGCGAGACTGGCTGCCCTTGCCTTTTGGCTGTTCCATCAACTTCCTAATCGCAAAATCCACACCAGTTTCAGCAGGGAACGCTCTGTCCTTCTTGGAACCAACGAGGCGGATGTCAAAGCTGGTAGGGTCGTCGGCGAAATTCTTGTACGAGAGGGGTTGTGCATCGGTCATGAACTTGCGATTGCGGCCTCCTAGTTTGCCCAAGATGCGCATAGTCGTGTGAGCGTGGAAATGGCTGTAGGGATGCGGCTTAAGATGGTCAAACAGGGCTGTCATCAATTCATCAATGACTGGCGCCATGATCGGGTCGAGATAGTCTGCAGTGAGGTTATCGACACAGAGCTCTAGTGTCCGCAGCCCTTGACCAACGAGATCGGTTCCAGCTCGCAGCGCAACGACAAGTGGTCGCATCAAGAAGCTGAGATGTGGCAACAGGTTACTCAGCCTCGCAGGCACGGTCAAACACAGTTCAACGTAGAGATCCCGTTCGGCAGGCTTTCTTGCTGCCATGAGCAGATTGTTGAGGACGTCCAGGAGCATCTCGAGAAGCGGCAGGATCTGCTTGTAGAGGTGCTCGAACTTCCCACCACCTATGCTTCTGAACAGTGACCTCAACAGGAGGAAGTAGTTCATTGGCTCCTCCGCTTTGGTCGAAAGCTCGATGGACTTGGTGACAATATCCACAACGTGAGGAAGAAGGACTTGCTCGTTCTGGTTGGCAAACAACGTGACGGCCATGAAAGCCAGCTTGAACAGCCTCAAAAGAATCGACGACTTCTTCACGTCCGCTGAACCGACTTGGTCGATCCGTTCCATCAGGAAGCGCAGCAGCATACCGCAAAAGCTAGGTGAAGTAGCTTCGCTGGCGAGGAAGAACTGGGGGATGTGGAGCAGACCGGTGTGTTCAAAGATCATGTCGTACAGATGAGGAATCTCTTGCTGGAAGACCTCGTGGAACGTGGCGGGGTCTATGCAGTGGAAGACGGTTGCAAAGGTCTCAAGAAGTTCCTTTTCTTCCTTGCTACTAGAAACCATGTAAAAGTTGGCCATGTACTCGACCGGTGACATGTACTGAGACTCGGTGGCAGGCTTCTCAATTTCGTAGTAGCGGAAGACATATGCTCCCTCCCTGAACAGCTTCACAATGACATTGACTTCTTCGGCAGTGAAACCGTAGGCGACGTCTTGCCAGTGTGCTGGAGCGTTTGTCAGGTCAACGTTGGTGTTGACGTTGCAGGTCCTCAACTGGTAGAAGGTGTTCTTCAAACCATTCATCAGGTTCTTGAAGAGGAACTTGTTGTCAACAACAGGATCTGCCCCTCGATCCCTGGGGTTTGAAGTCTTGATAGGCATGGCAGTGAAGATATCTGTCTCATCCCAATCCGGAGGGTGGTCCTTTTCTGCAAGGTAGCTGTCCTGGGTTCCGTCGGCGGCTTGCTGGGCGTAGAGTTTCGAGAGCTTCACTGCATTGGGGTATTGTCGATTCATAGCCACGAACTTATCACCGATGGCGTTCAGGATCATGATGAGGTAATGCCGTGCGTCGACCTTGTTGGGCATCTTAGCGATGCACTCCGCCATGTTGAGTAGAAGCTTAGCGCTCATAGTCTGAAAGCTTGTTCCCGGGAAGTTGTCTTGCAGGTTTTTGGTGTATACCTCGACCGTTTTACGAATTTGTTCCGGTGTGAGGCTGTCGCGGACATGATGGATCAGGTCCGCAAGCATGCTGTAGGCCAGTGGCCGCATCGTCTCGTACACTGTCAGGCCATCGCCAATGAGAGTCTTCTCGTCGAGGAGTTCATCAATCTTAGGGAGGAAGATTTTCCTAAAGTTGAAGTTGATGATATGCCTGATAGCAACAAGCAACTCCTTGCGCGCACCTGATTTCTCACGAGGGCAATCCTGGAGAAGCCGTACCACAATCTCGGGGAGGGTCGGGAGGAAGTCGGTAAGCTGCTGCGAGTACTGGCGCAAGAGGTAGGCCAAAAAACTCATAGTCTTAACTTGGGCGGTGATGAACTCTCCAAAGGCGGCTCTGTTCTTAATGAGAGGACTGACTCCTGTGAAGATCTGACCCCTGGCCTTGGCGTCGGCATGAGCCTGCTTCTGAGCGCTTGCCTGAAGGCACAAGAACCCCTTGATGAGCGGAACGAAGGCCTTGACGTTCGTAGCGACGGTCGTGCGATATACTTGGAAGACAGAAACCACTATGATTGGGCATTCTGACAGGACCTTGAAAGATTGCATGCCCTTCAGCAGCATCCGGTTCTGTTGTTGGGGATCCGGACCAAGATCTGTGACAGACGCTACGGGCGAGCCCGGTCGAGGAGATTGGAAATTCGTTTGAGAGCTTCCTGGAGTTGACGGGGCTCCAGAGCTTGATGCCGTGGCGAGAGAGGTGTTGTCCAACTGCTCGCGGACGACCTTCTCCATCTGCTCAAAGAGCTCCTGGATCAGGTTGAGGAACGCCTGGACCTTGCCCTGCAAGACCTTGTGCTGATGGCGCATGACATCAGATATGATCTTAACACACAATGTCGCATTTTCCTCATTGTCCGTCCGGACCAATTGCATCAACAGGTCAACGACTTCTTCGGCGTAAGGTTCGAAGGCCTCGGGGGGTGTCGGCGTCGTCGGCAGTCGGTGGAGGATCTCGAGGATGCAGTTCCGGAGTTTCTTCCATCAAGGTCAGCAGGGTACGTACCACCTTGTGCAACACAGCAGCTTACCTGCTCCGGGGAGCTGCTCTGGAAGATGCATGGTCCTCTGAGGGTATTGATGAAGATAGGGACGAGCTTCTTCAGGAATGGTGCGTAGATGGGACCGTTAATGTAGTGGTCGATACTGTCGCGTAAGGTAGTCGCCGCTTCTACCTTGACTCTTGCATCTATCGACGTCACATGTCAGACATTTCACCATCAGAAGCGATGCGCCTTGCAGCGGGGTCGTGCATCGTGAGATCGCATTGTGGGGGAGAGGGAGGGTGCAAAGGTCGCGGCGGAGCGTACCTGTCTCGGGAGTGCTGAGTCGCTTGACAATATCATCAATGGTGGTGCCAGACATGGCGGCGTCAATGGCCCCTTCGGGACGCGTGATTCGTTCCCATGCGTGGGAAAAAAAGATGTCGTGGATCAGTCGTGTCGCGGCGAGGCTGAGGTAGATGAAGATGCGCGCGCCGGGGCTGGAGGGGTATCTAGTTGGGTTTGTAGATGAAGGAGGAAGAAAAAATCAAAAGTCGCTGTGGAAGAAGAAGACAGTGAATTACTCAGAGTTCGACGTTGCCTGCAGCTGCCTTTTGGGTGCGCCTTGTGGTTGGGAGGCGGACAAAATGGTTCCCAGTCACCAACAGGTCGCGCGGCTTGTCTAATTGGATTTTACGCTCCAGGCTCGACCGAACTTCGAAATTTCCCAAAGCCGTCGCGAAGCTGGGGGCAGCAGCCGCCAAATCATTTGGCGCTAGGCGCTGTAAGAATATTGATCCGGCAGGAGGTATCCACCCGGAGTGCAGCCGGCCCGCGATTGTAGCAGGGGCAAGCTGGGGACGCTCTTATCGCGGCCATCAAGCTCTTATCGCGTCTGCCCGGCGGCTTCTCCAGGTGGAGGCCGGAAATCCGGAGGTGGGCCGGGATCGCACTTCACTCTCCGGCCACCTTCCTTCGGTTCCGGGGTCTTTGACGTTTGTTCGATTGCAAAGCTTGCTGTATGTATGCTATCTTTTCTCATTTCACTGGCGGCTTCTTGTGAGATAGACAAAGGTAAATGCTTGCGTAACTTTCTGCCATCTGCTTGGCTTATTTGTCTCTTGTATCGCTTCAACAAATATCGCGATAAACATTAAAAGACGCTTAAGGCAAGCGCAATCCGTTCCAGAAGCATCTCTGTGGACTTACAATAACACTGGATCTCACAAGTCACATATATATACCTTCTCACAGCGCACCTTCTTCGGAAACATCTCTTGCTCACCACAACGACTCCAACCCAGGATCATCAACCAACCTACCCACATCAACTTCACTTGAGTCACCAACTTGAAATCGAACGTCACAATGAGTGGAGAGCACACTGCATTCTTCTACGGTAAGTCTGGCCCATCTACCTGCTGGTTTATATCCTAACGCTTCTCAACAGGCACCCTGGTCAGTATCGATGACTGAGTCACTCCGAACATCACCGTTGGACTTCACTAACCCTCAAGCAGATGGAGCCCAAGGTCTTCTTCACCGTGACCCAGGGCGACGGCAAGCCTGCCCAAGCCATCAAGGACCTGTACACCTTCACCCCCGCCGTCCTGCACGACTACACCCGCCACCGTGTCAACAAGGCCGACTACCCGGGCATGATCCCCGAGAAGGGCGGCTCCGTCCTGGGCATCTACGCGACTGGCCTCACCGACGTCAACGTCATGAAGCTCGACTTCTTCGAGGGCGGCGAGTACGAGAAGAAGGTCGTCACCGTCAAGGTCCGCGGTGCGGACGGCAAGGAGGAGGACAAGCAGACCACGGCCTACATCTACAAGCGCCCGGAGAACCTCGACCGGCGCGAGTGGTCTTTTGAGGAGTTCCGCAAGGACAAGATGCACGTCTGGACCCGCGAGAGCTACGTCTTTGAAGGTAACGACTAACCTGAGCCCACTTTCTTTTGCCGTTGGCATTGCTTCTTCTTGATGAAACCCTGGAGGCTGGAGAGGAGAAAACGGACTGGCCAATCTTACGCATCTTGGAGACGCCGTCACTAACGCTTTTGACAAAACGAACAGGCTGCGACGACTACGCCGAGTTCGAGAAGGTTTAGGCAGAGAATGTCAAAAGCTATGATGAGAAGGAGAATGTGGTCAAGCAGAGTGCAGCTTCGACATGCTGATTAGACAAGATGAGACTTTTGCTGCACGACCGCTTTTCGTGTCTGGCGGCAAATGGGATTTTCTGATGGGCTCCCCTGGGAATTGGGCGTCAGCTGCAGGTCCGCGACTGGGCCATAGGGCGGTGTGAGGCGAACGACAAGTCAGCACCTCCCTCACCCCATTCATTGGAGAATGGCTGCCGCCGGCTCACCCCACGAAGGATGGGTAATCATGACGCTACAGATAGATGAAACATGAGACGCGAAGTTCAGCGCAAATAGACGACGATGTTTACACTTCATGCCCGATGACTACCGCCAGCCTTGTCGGGCGGGGTCCCGACTTGCGTAGCCCCTGTGATGTGATGCGATGCAAAGTCGTCGTCCCTGCGATTGGAGTCGTCGTCTCCTGACCGAATGCGGGCGGCAATGCGACCGTGGGGAGGGGAATGAGAATCGCGGATTCGTGGGGGGGAATCCATGGCAACGGCAGTGAGTAAGACGTCAAGAGAACCTACCGCGGGCTAACACCCGCTAGCCAAGGCAGACTGCTGCGTGTAAGTGGTTCAAGCTTATGCAAGTTTGTTGGGCGGTCATCCCAAGTGTGAGTCTCGTTGAGGTGAGCGGCTGAAAATCATGCTATGGCGAAGGAGCGAACCACGAGCAACGCCAGGAGTCGCTAGCATCACAGCAAACGCCGGCGCGTCGAGAGGGCGGGCGTGTAAAGTGCCCCTTCGTGAACAATGCCGGCCCACATTCTAGCCACTTGTACCCAAGGAATGCCGGCTGCGTCAGGCTCTTCAACGGGATTCCAGCTCGGCAGGGATGCCAGCCCAGAGGCATCCGATGTGGTCTATCGGTGTTTCTGTAAAACAGAGGAGGGGAAAACCGCGGTACAACCGCGGAAGGCGCCCATCTCGGGGAGCACGAGGTGCGACTCACGAGCCACTGGGTCTCCCGTATTCATACGAGCTTCTGTGGCTCCGGCAGGCAAAAAAAGCGACAACTAGCCACAGGCAGTGTTCAAGAAGTGGCACCTGACAGGGGCAAATGCGGTGGCGTAAGCTGGGAATAATCGGACGTCCTTGTGGCTCAGAGGCGATCTTTCATGCTGTGCCGCTGAAGAAGGTTGTCGCCAGGACCCCCCCGAGATCATAGGTGTGGCTTCCATGACTTTAGAAGAGCGGCTGGACTGCCTCAAGGAGGGAAGCTGGAAATCAGCCAGGGGCGCGGGCCAAGGGTAGAAGCTCATGTCGGGGAATTCATGCGGGCGGGACGGCGCCGTTTCGTAGCTGGTACGGCGTCGGGCTGTGTTCTCTGGCGGTCGATCAGTGTCGCGGGTACGAGACTCGGTTCTACCAGATCGTCTGAAGGTGAAGGAAATGTCTCTCTGCGCCCCCTCGGATCGTCTACCAAAACCGCGCTTGTCGAGCTGGGCTCAAAATGCTCAATGCTCCAAACAGCTGCGTCGTTTGCGTCTGCGTCCTTCAGGGGAGGCAGCAACACGGACCCGGACGGGCCAGAGCAAGCTGCAGAAGAGGGATTTCTTGATCATCTTCGGACGATTAACCCGGACTGGGGCTAGGAGCAGATGAAGATGGGCAGGGAGTACGTAGGACGCCGCGCTGCAGCTGCCCGTGGCCTATGGGCATTAAGGGTGTGATCTTCTCCCTAGTACTAGCATGCGTACTGGCGTTTGCTAGTACAGATGGATCCTCTGATATAAATAGAGGGCTGGAAAAACCCTAATTTTATACGCTTAACTATTCTGGGTATTAGTTTATTACTACTAGTAAGGGGACCCTATTATAAAGCCTTAGTAGTAGAGTTATATAAAAGATAGTAATATACCTCCTCCCTCTAGTATATATACTAGAGTTTTCTGCTATTTAACCCCTTCTTACTATATAAAAACGCTAATACGTAGAGAGGGTTATTTTTAACTTTCTCTATATACTAGAGGCTAATATTAAGAGCAGTTAGACCCCTTAGATAGCAAAATTAACCCCTCTACTATACTTTTTAATAATAATAAAGCTATTAATAAAGCTATTAAAATAGCTATATAAAGTACTTATATTACTTTAACCTAATAAAAGTAATTATTAACTAATTATTAAAGAGTAATTAATAAAAATAACCTTATAGTAGTATATAAGTATACTAGAAGATTACTAGTAAAGTTATCTTACTACTTCTTTAAAATATTCTAAATAAATAAACAGTAGTTTAATATACTTATTTAATAGCTAAGTAAATATACTAGCTTATAAGATTCTTAATATATAAACATAAAGTAAAAATTATTAATTTTCTTATATATTATAAGCTAAAGCTACTCTTAGCATACTACTACCTACATATTTAAAGTTAGCTAAAATATAATATTATAATATATTAACTTCCTACTTACTACCTATATTAAGCTGCATATAATATATATTTAACCTATAATAAAAAGAGAGATCTTATTAGAGATTAAAGGTAACCCTAAAAGAGAGGCTTTTTTAAGCTATATAGGCGCTATTAATAATACTCTAATCCATACTTTTATATTAAAAAAAAAATAGAAGACTTAGCGTTATTAGAAGGGCTATATCAACTAGAATATCTTTATAGTAGTAAGGTTTAATAGCAGCTTCTTATATATACTCACTAGTATTAAGAGGTTAATCTATAACTTAAAGCTAATAATATTTATATATAATTAAAGGTTTACTATACTAAAAAAGAGATATTTCCTTACTAATATTAGATTTAGAAGTAGAAATAGCCTTAATATTCTATACTATAAAACTTATTACTATCTATAAGATTAAAAGGATATAAACTTACTACTAATTACTACTTAAAAGCTATATAATCTAAAGTATAGCTAACTTTAAGTAATTATAAAGTAAACTTTTAGTTACCTTAAGAAGAAGTTCTATATTATTTAAAATTTAGCACTAAAATACAGCTTAAAGTAATAAATAGCTATAATATATATAATAATAGCACTCTATAACTTTCTAATAATCTACCTATTAGAGAAGTTAAAACTAATAGAAAGAGAAAGTTAAAATAATATTAATATTAATATATTATAATAATAAGTAAATAATCACTATATAAGTAAGTTAATAGTAGAAATTTATAATTTTATAGCAGTAGAGATATAATTAAAATAGCTATAGCAAAAAAAGAAGTAGTAAGCAAAATAGCAGGTTAGGTAATAAGTA